CCCACATAAGGTACTAGGCACATGCAAAGAATGAACGGAATCGGTCCACAGGATTCTGAAATATGACTCTGGACAGACTGACGCACACACGGACGGACGGACAGACTCAGGAACTCACAGATGGTCGGGGACATGTATCCTAACATGTATAATCTATGTACTAAATTTGAATATAAATTGACAAAGCATGTCCAAAATACGACATTTTCAAAAACAAGATGGCTGCCAGTCGGCCGTCTTTGGTCCAATTGTGAAATAAATCGTCACGGACATGTATCCTAACATGTATAATCCATGTACCAAGTTTGAATGACAACTGACAAAGCATGTCCAAAATACAACATTTTCAAAAAACAAGATGGCTGCCAGTCGGCCATTTTGAATTGAATCGCTAAACCACTGCATGTGCATATGTCCCACATAAGGTACTAGGCACATGCAAAGAATGAACGGAATCGGTCCACAGGATTCTGAAATATGACTCTGGACAGACTGACGCACACACGGACGGACGGACAGACTCAGGAACTCACAGATGGTGGGGGACATGTATCCTAACATGTATAATCTATGTACTAAATTTGAATGAAAACTGACAAAGCATGTCCAAAATACGACATTTTCAAAAACAAGATGGCTGCCAGTCTGCCGTCTTTGATCCAATTGTAAAATAAATCGTCACGAACATGTATCCTAACATGTCTAATCTATGTACCAAGTTTGAATGAAAACTGACAAATCATGTCCAAAATACAACATTTTCAAAAAAACAAGCTGGCTGCCAGTCGGCCATTTTGATTCGAATCGCTAAACCACTGCATGTGCATATGTCCCATATAAAGTACTAGGCACATGCAAAGAATGAACGGAATCGGTCCACAGGATGCTGAAATATAACTCTGGACAGACTGACGCACACACGGATGGACGGACAGACTCAGGAACTCACAGATGGTCGGGGACATGTATCCTAACATGTATAATCTATGTACTAAATTTGAATGAAAACTGACAAAGCATGTCCAAAATACGACATTTTCAAAAAACAAGATGACTGCCAGTCGGCCATCTTTGATCCAATTGTGAAATAAATCGTCATGGACATGTATTCTAACATGTCTAATCCATGTACCAAGTTTGAATGAAAACTGACAAAGCATGTCCAAAATACAACATTTTCAAAAAAACAAGATGGCTGCCAGTCGGCCATTTTGAATCGAATCGCTAAACCACTGCATGTGCATATGT